GGGCAGTCCCAGTTTGTTGCTGGACTCCTCGTTGGATGCCTGGAGGGGCCAAGGCAATTGCCTGAGCCGGGCAACAGAAAATGCCGTTTGTTTAAACAGAGGAGTGTTGTAAATCCCGGGCGTGCCCTCCCCACTGCACGGCGGTCACACCGCCGTCTCTGGGCCTCACCCGGCCCAGGCACTCTTGCCTCGTTTTTTTCAGAGACTTAGTGTTACTTTTGATAATACTGAGATGGGTTGTTATGTGTCAGTACTGTTACGGGAAAAATACAGCTTTATAAAGACATTATTATGATCAAACTGCGCCAGGTACCTGGGTGAAAACCTTTCTTGAACTTGCCAAGCGACTGTGGAGACACCAGAATCAGTTTTGGTTGTATTTCCAAAAATATTCCAACTGCACAGCTCTTGTTAACCAAAACCAACACCGAATGTGCGTGACGCCTTGGCATGTGTGGCTCAAGGGGTACCTGGTAAGAGCAAAAATGTTAAGCTTTTTATGGACTTGAGATTTCCTTTTTCATTTCGCCACCAGTTTTATGACAGGAAAGTCACTGTAAACACATCAGTTGCTCAGTTTCTGCGTCTACGGAGTGTAATCACGAACTTTGGCTGCTGGGAATTGAAGGTGGCTGGGGATTTACTCTGCAGGAAATAGTTCTGTGTGATGTGGACTGATGGGATTGTAGCTCTAAGATGATGGCAATGTTGACTTCATCTTTCTACAAGCTAAAAAGCTCTGGAAAGAAAACCCCAACCCTTCATTTTAATATATTGTCCGTTTTCATGTTGTGTTTGAGGGAAATTTTAAACCTGTACAGTAATTTCCTGCTGGTACCCAGTCAAACCCCACTGTGACATTTAGTCACGCATGTTCAGCTAGAGACTCAATTAAATAGATCACCAGATTACTGCACAGGTTTGGAGCTGCTCGTGGACGTTGATGCCTGATGTATTCTGTCACATCAAAGTGAGCGTGTGTCTGCTTGTTTGAGCACCTGGTTTTTTTCCTTATCTCTAACAGTAGTTTACTTCAGATGGCTGAGAAAACAACCAGAGGCCCGCAGGATGTCCCCGGCTCTTCTCCTGATGAAAATGAATTTCCTTTCGGATATCCCACTAACATTTGTGAGGATGTGCCTGATCAGAAGTACCTGTGCAGCAACTGCAATAACATTCTGAAGAAAGCCCTGCAGACGCTCTGTGGGCATAGGTACTGCTCAGCCTGCCTCTCCTGGATTGTACGGTAGGTCCTTGCTACAGAGGGTCACACCGCCCTGCCACCGTCAGTGGCTGCAAGCGCTCCTGAGAGCTGCATCGTGCCGCTGTGCTCAGCAGATGGGTCTGTGGCTACCTGGCCCACTGGCCCATGGTCATTTTACTGTCTGGAATTACGTACCTGCGGTGGACTGCAGGGTACTCTCTGCCTCCTTCTTGTTCCCAATATGGAAGGCTGCGGGGTGGGGAAGGCTGGATTACTGGGCTTGGCAGATGTCAGGTTTTCTGTCTGTAAGTGTGAGATAAGGATTCTGATTTAACCTTGAAGAACTAGTACAAGACTGATTTAATACTTCCATGAGACTTTACAGTCCTATGATAAGTGATGTTACAGGATTTTAATGAACATTATCTTAGAGTTTTATTTTTAGTAAGTCAGCTGGGTCACCACATGTTGAGGTGCTGCTGCCGTTAGTGAAAAACAGTGACAGCCCTTGGCCTGGACAACCTGAAAACCAGGAGCTGGGTGGGGATTTGCTTTGACCCATTAGCTGCTTCTATCCTGCCTTTTCTTTTGACAATTACACCTTGATGCAGAGCTTTTGGAAAAGGGTGTGTCTGCCGTGCAGGTGAGAGGTGAAATTGCAGCACAATTCCATGAATATGAGCTGACTTGAGCTTTGCCGTTTTGGAAAACAGCAGCTGTCAAGATTCAGTGACTGGGCTTTGGTACTGGCTAAGTCAGTCTAAAGCCCGTTACTGCGCTTCCTCATGGATGTTATTGGTAAGGTAGTTGGTGTATGCCAGTTCATGCAGTCCCCGCTCTCATTACAGTGTGGGGCACCTGAAAAGCTTGGTCAATGCTCTGGCCACATGTGAATTGAAGATCAATGTATAATAAAGTAAGAATGTATTGAAATTAATGTGTTTGACCAACTTACATAAGTCCATTACTGTAAATCCAGAACAAAGCCCCTTAATGAAGCAACATAAATGGTAAATTCAGAAAACTGTCACCAGAACGTAACCAGAATTGTTGTCTCTTCCCACTGGAGTCTTACAGCACAAACAGGAAACTGGCTCAGACAAGCTAATTAGTACAGCTTGAAATCAGTTATGCTGTGGTTGGATGGATGCTTTTCTGATGAGCTTCTCGGTCTGTGTTAGTTCATTATTTGCTTGGGTGCTAAACAGCACTGACAATGAAATACATCTCTAGTAAAGTTTTGTTTTTCACTTTTCCTATATAAAACTCTATACTAAATATTTTGAGAGTAAATCAAAACCTTTTCTGGCTGCAGCAGGGTGTTAACTCTCTAGAACTCAATTCTGCACCAGTTCTACTATGTCTTTGTAATTTGAAGTCTATATATCTATCTTGGGAAAATGGGCATTTTCTGCATTTTAAAAGACTTTAGTTTTCATGTTACCTTTCACGTTACCATGTTACATGATGGTTTTGCATAATTCTGAGATAAATAGGTTTCCATCTTTATTCTTTTTTATGATCCACGCTGCTCTTATTTTGCTGAAATACAGGTGAGATTTATGGGCCTAGTACTAGTCTTGAGAAATAAAACCACAGGGTTTTTTTGACGTTAGTGTGTTCAAGAATTGGCCCTTTAATGATCAAGAACTATGGATTCCGAGTGAAAATTACAATTTCCATGTTTTTACTTGTGTCAGTGTCTATACAAAGACCTCCTAAACTACAGTACACCAACTGATTGTTATTTCATTCTTCTTTCTTTTTGCCAGAAACAATAAAAATGCGATTTGCCAGAAATGTAAAGAGGAAGATCCCAGCACTTTAAGTGAGGGAAGCCTATTGGCAGAAGAAAGGGTAAGTTGTAGTTCACCGTTGAGTAATTTATCATTAACCATTCTCTGGTCTACTCCGTAGTCATCATTGGACTACAGTTTAGGAGGGAATAATATAACATGTGATAGCATCTGATAGTTACATATTTTAACTCATGCTTTAGTCATTTGGATTTCCCACAGTTTTTGATTTAAAAAAGTATAATGGCAGCCTTAGGACTTTCCAAGTCTGTCAGGTTCTGCGACATAAAATCCCATACTCTTCCATATAATTAACTTTTTATTGTCTCAAAGTAACAGGTGCTTTCCTACTTGTAATAACATGTTTTAGCTGTTACTTATTATCCTTAGTAAGTATCCTGGTGGATTTTCCAATCTCGTGGTTCTCTGTACCCTTCAAACATGTTAGCAAACTTACAGGTGGAGCATCCCTGAGATAAAAAGCTAAGTGTCGGCTAGCCAGCTGAATTGCCTAGAAAGAAATTTGACAGCCAGGCTATCTGGAGGAAAG